CAAGCATCTGTCACCCTGAGCGCAAAGCCCGGGCGAGGACATGAACACGGACACACTTACAAAGTCAAGTCCAGCCGTGGCTGAAGCTGGACTAGATGGGAGCTGGTGAGGCAGGAAAGGGCTCCAGCTTCTGCTGTACCTGCCTGAGCTGTCACAGTTGTTTGACAAACTACAAATTATTTGTTTTTTCATTATCAACAGGTTGCTTTCATTTTTAAGTCACTTGCTAGCAGCAAACACTACAGTTCAAGAATAGAGGTGTTGGAAACAGCAACAACAATAAAATCTAACTGCACATTACATTCTCATTGTAGTCCCTGTAGAAGAGATACTTCAACCCTTAAACATAAACAAATAAATTGAACATGTTATAAATGTTTTCACATTGGACATAATGAGTTATATATTTTGTGTAAGACAGTATCATATTCTGCACCATTAGCTAATTTTAATTAGCATCACTGCAGGCAGGTGAAACAAAGCAGAGGCTGCATGATCCTCCTCTAGTAACCATTTCGCACAGGACTGACATCTGATCTCATCCTCATAACCCCATGGAAGAAACATGCTTTGGCTCAGGAACACCATTGTTAAAAAAAAAAAAAAGCAAAACCAAAAAAAAGCAGCAGCTAGTCCTTTCTTATATTGCCCAAATAACTCACCATTTCTCAAACTATCGATCAGCTCCCTTTCCCTGCTCTACTTTCAAAAGTAGCTTATGGCCTCCCATGTAGATCACATATAAATCTAAAAGTCTACCTCTAACCTTGGTCTCAATTTAATGCTGAATTTTATTTTACCTCCAGACACACCTCACAGGTTTTTGTTCATTCCCACTTTTCCATTTCTCACTGCCTAGACCCCACTGCTTTAGCTTTTGGTTTCATTTGGCATAAATTCACTCACTCCGTGTGCCACCCTATTGCAAGCTACAGGCCAGTACCTGCACACAGAGGCCTCTGGGGACCAGCAGTATGTATGTATTTAGAGGGAAGAACTCATCCAATGGTGCACAGAAAATGTAGTTGGGTCTTTAGAGACATCTGCGGCAGAAAGAGGATGGCAAGGTGGCCGTTCCAGAGGGCAGCCAGAGGTACTGACTCCTCCATCAATCTTCCCTCCCAGAGTATCAGCTCTATTTCTGCCTTTGTTTCACCTGCCAGAGTATCAGTAAGGAGGCATGCGGGACCCCACCAGTGGGAGCAATTTGGGTTTCAGATGTTTGGGAAGAAAACTGTAGGCTAAGAGGGGGTTGCAAAGGGAAAGGCTCTCCAGTGGAGTTATTACTTAGAATCATAGAATAGACTCATAGAATGGTTTGGTTTGGAAGGGACCTTAAAGATCATCTAGTTCCAACCCCCCTGCCATGGCCAGGGACACCCTCCACTAGACCACGTTGCCCAAAGCCCCATCCAACCTGGCCTTGAACACTTCCAGGGAGGGGGCTTCCACAGCTTCTCTGGGCAACCTGTGCCAGTGCCTCACCACCCTCACAGGGAAGAATTTCTTTCTAACATCTGATCTAAATTGACCCTTTTTTTGTTTAAATCCATTCCTCCTTGTCCTGTCACTCTATGCCCTTGTAAACAGTCCCTCTCCAGCTTTCCTGTAGGCCCCTTCAGGCACTGGAAGGCCGTGATTAGATCTCTCCAGAACCTTCTTTTCTCCAGGCTGAACAACCCCAACTCTCTCAGCCTGTCCTCATAGGAGAGGTGCTCCAGCCCTCTGATCAGCTTCGTGGCCCTCCTCTGGACTTGCTCCAACAGCTCCATGTCTTTCTTGTACTGGGGACCCCAGAGCTGGACGCAGTACTCCAGGTGGGGTCTCACAAGAGCAGAGTAGAGGGGCAGGATCACCTCCCTTGACCTGCTGGTCACGCCTCTTTTGATGCAGCCCAGGATACAGTTGGCTTTCTGGGCTGCAAGCGCACACTGCCGGCTCATGTTGAGCTTCTCATCAATCAATACCCCCAAGTCCTTCTCCTCGGGGCTGCTTTCAATCCGTTCCTCACCCAGCCTACGGTTGTGCTTGGGATTGCCCTGACCCACCCGCAGGACCTTGCACTTGGCCTTGTTGAACTTCATGCGGTACGCACAGGCCCACCTCTCCAGCCGGTCAAGATCCCTCTGGACGCCATCCCTTCCCTCCAGCGTGTCAACTCCACCACACAGCTTGGTGTCGTTGGCAAACTTGCTGAGGGTGCACTTGATCCCATTGTCCATGTCGCTGACAAAGATACTGGTCCCAGTACCGACCCCTGAGCAACAGCACTCATCCCTGCTTTTCACTTGGACATTGAGCTGTTGACCACAATTCTTTGAGTGCGATCATCCAGCCAATTCCTTATCCACTAAGTGGTCTGTCCGTTGAATCCATGTCTCTCCAATTTAGAGACAAGGATGTCATGCGGGACAGTGTCAAATGCTTTGCACAAGTCCAGCAAGATGATGTCTTTCCCTCTTCCCTTGTCCACCAATGCTGTAACCCTGTCATAGAAGGCCACCAAATTTGTCAGGCACGATTTGCCCTTAATGAAGCCATGTTGGCTGTCACCAATCACCTCCTCCTTTTCCATGTGCCTGAGCACAGGTTCCAGGAGGGTCTGCTCCATGATCTTGCCAGGCACAGAGGTGAGACTGGTCTTCCTTTTTTTCCCTTTCTAAAAATGGAGGTTATGTTTCCCGTTTTCCAGTTAGTGGGAACTTTGCCAGATTGCCAGGACTTCTCAAATATGATGGAGAGTGGCTTAGCAAATTCATCTACCAGTTCCCTCAGGACTTGCAGATGCATCTCATCAGGTCCCATGGACTTGTGTCAGACCATCTAAGGAACCTGAAGGTGCACCTAATCTTCTCCTTCAGTGGGTGGTTCTTCATTCTCCCAGTCCCTGCCTTTTGCCTTCTGTGACCTGGGCAGTGTGGCCTGAGCACCTGAGGAGAGCCTTTCATCCTGTCCCTCAGGGTGAGGGGGGCGGATTGCTCATGGTCCCACCACGCCCCCACCCACGCTGCTGGGGCAGCACTGGGTGCAGCAACAGAGTATAATTTCTCTCCTACCAAATTAATGAACTGTTGTTGGACAGGGGAGATAAACAGATCAAGGAAATACCCAGTTGTGCTTGCCAAACCACATCCCTGCTACCAATACCATTTAACAGCTGAATTCACATTGGACTTAAATTACTTAAAAGTTAGTTTAATTGGTTAGACACACAGCCAGATTGTTTCTTTAATTCCACAGATTCAGACATTGTGTCTATATGCACAAATACCTAAAAAATTAGAGTTATGCAGCTAAGCAAGCAGCTCTGTCCTCCCTGTGTTATCAAAAGACAGGCTTCTTAACAGAAGCCAGGTATAAATACAATAGCCAACTTTTATTTTCATAATTAACATTGGGCCAAATTCTTCCTTCTGCACAGAATCTCATCACATATTACTTGCATCTCAGAAAACATCATAAAAAAAGAATGCTAGTTAATCAAACTGCTTGAAATTTTAATTGAGATCTACGTTTGTTCTGCAACAGTTTCTCAAAGGCTATGATGAAACACAAGAACCATTTTAAATGAGACTAAATAAAAGCACAAATCCCAGGAAATCATTCTGCATTTGGAGAAGACTGAATAGAAAAGCCTGATTTTAACTAAGATCTACAGGATTACCAAGAACATTAGGGAATGTCCTTGCAAAAATTCCTCCCTTCAGTTAAGGCTTTGAAAAGAAAGTTTTTCAAAGTGTGGAGCACCTCTAATCTCAAGGCAATAATTGAGAATTAGAAGTCCTTAGCATCCTTGAACATAGAGCTAGACAAGTCTTTTCTAAACAAATCTAACTTTACAGTAAAGACCTATTAATCTTATTAAAAATGAGATTGATTCTTACCACTGGGAGCTGGCACTGTAACTGCCACTCAGTTGTTCCTAATTTATTGGATGAAACAAATAATGCAACATTTCATGGTTGGTATTGTTTTATTGTCTAATAGTGATTAAATTATTTACACTCCTACTTTTCAATCCCACCGTTTAGCACTCATACCTATGGCTTTTACGTTTAGCACATCTTTGTGTCAAGTGTCAGAATTTCATTTCATGAAACAAAAAACAGGAACCTGATACCATATAGACAAGTCTCCTCTATATTTATGTTTAAACATATTCATTAAAAAAAAATTACAATTTATAAAAGAAGAGTCTGCTGGTAGCTTTCTTCCAGCTCATATTTACCACAGACTCTACTGAGCTTTTCCTATTTTAAAGTGTCCCTTTTAAAATGTCCTGCTGCCTTCACATGGAATCAGTTTCCTCCCTCAGGCCCCCTGCCTCTAAATTGAACACAAAAAGAAAAAAAATCAGTAGCCGACAATTTTAAGCAAAAATATAAAGCACTATAACATTATTTACATTGCCTTTTGCTGAACTAGGTTCTTGAACACTCTAGGAACTTTGTGGACGTTTAACCAGTCAGTGTTGAAAAGGCACAGGATTTTTGTGCTCAGAGACCTCCAGCAACAATGTTTTTTCTCCAGCCTGAAAGCTAGGGACCGCTGTTAGGATACAGCAAAGTCTGTTCTGAAAATCACAGGTAGGCAATTGCCACTTACAATAGAACCCACCAGATTTTACTGATTCTTCTGCCACAGACACCCTGCAAATCTACAACAAGAGTTTGCTCCAACTGCAAGAGGAAAAGAGGTGAAGTTACTCTTACATATACCCAGGGATGGTGTAACAATGATACAAGTTATTCATTACTAAAATCCCCACAAAGCTGTCCATGTCTGTGGTAGTTTTTGTTCCATGGTATTACATGAATGTGAAAGATTTTTCACATATGAGAGAAGTTTAGTTGAACATGAAGAAAACTAATTTTGGTCCACTTGTCCAGCTTCCTATGGACAGCACATTGGAAAGGTGACCATTGATGGTTCAAAACCAATGTAAAAGTTAACAAAAATAATTTGGTATTTCATTCCTAAACCTGTGCAGTGTGTTTGTCCTAGTCATGCACCTTTTCATTCTGTGTGTCCACTAACTGTTGAGTTTTTAAGTCTTCAGCTTGTTCATGATCTTCCTTATCTGCATCATCTACTTGATTAGGTTCCTTTTCTTCTGCTTCTCCTTGATCAACACTTTCATATTCTACTTGTTCCAGGTGTGTTCCATCTATAAGTTCTGCCTGTACTTCTTCCATCTGTATTTGATTTACATGCTCAACATGTAACTGCTCCACATGAACTTCAGCGCCTTGTTCAGTCTGAATATGTTCAACTTCCAAGTAACTAATTTGCACCTGTTCTTGCAGTTCCTCCATCTGTGTGCCTTTCGCTTGATTGTCCTGTATGAGATCCTGGTGCATCTGTTCCACAGTAACCTGTGCAGGATCCACTTGTACCTGAATTACTGGTAGGACATGGACTTGCTCCACTTGTTCTATTATAGTCATTGATGTTACTGGTTCAGCTTCGACAGCTTCCACTGGAAGAACCTCTTCTGTCACTATTCGTTCAGAAATATTGTGCATTTCCTTGAGATGCCTTCTCAGCTCACTGCCTTGCATAAACCACAAATCACATAAGGTACAGTGGTTGGGTTTGTCACCGGTGTGTATTACCAAGTGATCTTTGAATTGATCCCAGCTGTTAAACACACTGTTACAAACCTGAAACAAAAGATAAAGTATATTAAAGAGCGCCAACAGAAATATAACAAAGTATAGTGCTTATTTCAGATCATGGCTTCACATAGTGTAGCCTCTTGCTACTTGGAATAAAAACCCATATATGTTAGAGGTAAAAGCTGAGAAGTCAGCTTCAGATGAACAGAAGACCTGGTATTAATTTATTTCTTTTTAAGAAACAGTGAGCTACTTTGAGTTGTGCATACACAGGATACTTAAACTTATGAGTCAGTACAGCATTTGAAAGTTTTCTTATTTTAACCTTATGTGAAATTCACATACAGTATAATGCCCCAATAAGTGTCTGGTGCTAGAGTGTTGGGTTGAAAGCTATTTATGTAATAATACTGTACAATGAAAGTGTAACACAAACTGTCCTTTTACTGACCTTCTAGATGCAGTACTACAAGCTGACTTTTCCTTATCAGCTTTCATTTGCTCATGGCATTGTAAGGTTTAACTGGCTAGACTGAACTCACTCATTTTGCCATTTCAAAGATACACTTGGGTGATTTCAGCAAATAAACTCTTTTAAAACTCCATCCCTTTAATTTTTTTCCAGATAAAAGTACTGCCTGAACTGCAGACACACTGTTTTCACAAAGCACATGAGCACAATTCCTTCCCTTCAGCTGGCACTGAGGTACGTGAAAACACCACACAGACTGCAGAAATGAATGAGGTGCCAGGGTAGGAGAGGGAGAGAGAAGAGTGGGGTAAGGTCAGGCTTGGAGTAAAGAAACAGTCTCAGGAATCTGTCCATGCAAGTGTTCTTGCCTGCAGAGAGAACATGTTTCAACACCCCTTCACTGCTGGCAAATAGTTTTGAAACAGAATGTTCCACCTCCTCAATTTTCAGCAACAGACAGAAGGATGATGGAATATCTGACAGGGATTAACTCAAGATCAGGACTGTGTAGTGGAGCTAAATATCTCCATTTTGCTGCTGAAGTCTGTTAAAACCAGTTTGTGTTGCGTAGCGCCATGCTTTTTCCCCCCAGCCTCATGCTTTAGAAAGCAGTTGCACGTACACTTCTTAAAATACTCATCTTGTAGATAAGCACTCAAAATTACTTAGCCATACATAAAGGTAATGACTATTGGTAATGCCCAAGCACATAATTATTGTTCTTGCCACGTGGAGCCTATTTCAGTACTCAAGGCATACACTGAAGAGCATGAAAAGTGCTCATCAAGGAAGCACAATTTTGTTTTCTCCTCTTTGTTCAGTGAGCCAAGATTGATTTATTGAATACTATTCCAATTTAGTTCCAAAGAGAGAAAAATTCATCCAAGAATTGCTGCAGTTTCCGTAGGCTGCTAATCCACATTCACAACATCTGTGAGAGGATGTGGTATCAATTTAGAAAGAGAAAGCTATGACACAAAGGAATTAGACCAAAGGGTCACAAAGACAAAACAGAATGTTCAATGAAGCTATTAGGTACAACTTTGTGTTATACAGTAATTCTCACATTTGGAACAAGCTTATCTTTAAGACCAAGGTGTGCTCCCAAGAATTAACTGCAGATTAGCATAACAACTAAATGATGCAACAGCATCAGTGAAACTTCCTATTAAATGATTTGATTAGCAACACAATTAATCTCCTGCAGTATTCAATGTTTTCTGTGAATAAGATCACTCCCACTTTTGGAACAAATAAAGCTGATATCGAGCAGTTTTATTCACTACACAATGCAATTTAACCTCAAACCACAGCCATCCTGTGAACTGAATAAGTTGAAATCCTAAAGGGAAAAAATAGACGGGGAAAGAGAGAGAGAGAGAGAGAATCTCACTGATTGTAAGCATTACGAGGCTCCATATCAGTAATTCCATATTTTAAATAGAACTACTTATATCTAAGAATTTATCTGCATGTTGTAGTTGAATGCAATCCTTATATTTATTTTACTAAAATAAGTTCTTGGAGACATAAGCCAACTCTTGTTGCCTTTCCTGCTCAGTACTCCCACGCTCCCTCAGCACAGCAAGGAGGTAACTAGCCTCAGGCTCTGCTACTTCCATTACCCACCTGACATTCATACAGCTTCTTTCTTCCCTTTTTAGCTCCAGCTCCAGACTGACAGGCCGTCAGGTGACATTTGAGCGTGCTATTCCTAGCAAAACGTTCATGGCAGTTTGGACATTCAAATGGTTTTTCACCTGTTAAGACAGATACAGGGATTTGTAAGTGCATAAACCCAGCCAGTTTTCTGTCATCTCTCTCTTCTTCCTCTCTCTCCCTTTTGTGTAATATATAAACACAATAAATTGTGATAAATACGCTGTAAAGATGCGGCCAACTGGATTATTCTACAGAAGGAGAGAAAGACATTCTATGTGAACTTTATTTATGTAAATAAAAGTGTAAAAATCTAATGTGGAGTCATAACTCTTATTTAGATAAAAAACAATGTAACAATTACCAGTGCCATTTAAAGTACATTTAAGTTTCTATGGAAATAAGATTACTGACAAAATATCTTAAAGAAATAGCAGCTATTTCTCTCTTTTAATCTGATAATATTTACAGTTAAAAAAAATCAACATTAGTAAATATACAAAGTGACACATCAAAGAAGGAAGTATATAAATAATACAAAGTTTTGTTTTCAAGAAAAAGAACAGCTTATGCTTGAGAGCTGAAACTGAGCTCCAGAAAAAGAAGTTGGCAGGGAATGACCACTAAGTAACAATGCATCAGTATTAAAACAAACAACACTCCCTCCCCTCAAAAATACAGTGAAGAGAAAGCACAGAGGGACATAAATGGGCACAAGCAAGATAAAAATTCTTTTCAGTTTAGCCATTTCATTCCAAACCTGGTACCAAATACAGAAGCCAGCTAAGGACAACAGCAGGGGAGGCTGAGTCGTTTTCTCTTTTTCATCCAAAGTAGTATATTGTTATTACTGTCATCAAGTAGTGACAAAGAACAAGTGGCATCTCTGTTTACTAATTTCACCATGCAAAACCACAATGAAATTCAAGGAAATTAGAGTACAAAAAAATTAGGAGCAGTATGTTTCTTCTGAAAGTCTGATAATTAATCTGTGGAGGTACTGACACCAATATCACAACTGAAACAAATGGCTTAATGAACTCCAAAAGAGCCTGAAATGCCTTAGTGAATAACATAAGAATCTATCCTAGCTAGTTTAAAAGCCTGCATTTTCAGGAATGCAGTAGTTACTGACTGTTGAGATGGAAAACCAATAAATCTGTATTTGCAGAAATAAAGATATTCAGAAGTTCCTAATTAGCTTTTCAAAAGAAATCCACAAGTAGCCTATAATTCTCACTTATACACCTAAATGCTACAGAAAAATGTTAAATGGTGGGAACATTCATAGAACATTCACCCTAATGGTTACAAAATGGTTTTTGGAGACTGTTGTACTGGTAATGCAGAGGATGCTGAACTGCCATCAAACTTGCAGGTCAAAAATCACAGCCTTTGCCCAAGCAACTAATGGATACTACAGAACAATACTTGCACCACAGACCTTCACCTGCCCCATTATCTGGTCACATTTAAATAGTTACTTGGAGCAAGTCACCAGTCAGGGACAGATTTATTCCGTTCTTACTCCAATTCTTCAGTAATTTCCAACATATTCTGCCAAAAGTGTCTGAAAGTGACAATTCAAAGATAATGGTGGCAATATCCAAAGGCCAAAAGACCTTGTGTGACTCCTTGCACAGTACAAATCAATGCTGTGACCTGAGCTGCACCAGTCACAGCAGTGATGAAAAACACAGAGAGCGTGCCGGCTGTCTTTTCTCCTTTCCTCTCCAAGAAACACACTAGAAAGCTGCAGGCTAAACTCCTCAGCTAAAGGTGACAACTTGCTTCTCCTTCCCTGTGTGTCATCCAACCACAAGTCTAGTCTCATCTAAGTGAGATTTTACAAACAGGGAGGTTTTTGGCCTGATCTAATGATTTTTTTTTCCCTCCCTTACGAGAATGGATGAGATTTCACTTGCCAATTGTAAGTAATACACAGGACAGAAATTCTGACTGGAGATAGTCCAATATTGTGCTGGTCTTTTATAATCTGACAGTCACAGGAAGGAGACTGCCCCAAATAAGTATTTTTTAACCCAAAGAAATTAATAACTAACACAGTGACTTTTATTTGCCTAATAGGTAAGAAATACCAGGGAATTCAACCATCACCATAAAGCTACCATATCATTATTTAGATTTGGTTTAGAGACAAATACTAAACCTAGTTTGTTGGGTTTTTTTCCACAAACACAAAGGCAGGCATTTCAGACATTTATCAAATGAACTTCTGGGGATCATTTATTCCAAGGTATGTAAATAGAGCCCATTAATTCACTCCTATGGAAGATGTTATTTCCAGTTCGAATTACACTTTCTGGAAAACTTATTTCAGATTTACCAAGCATGACAAATACCTTAATTAATTTTTCCTAAGAAGCTGGTATACAAATTACTTCGGTTACAGGGTTTTCAGACAAGGGCAGATTAATTTAGCTGCTTGGAGCACATCACAACTTCTTCACTTCCACCTTCACTAACGTGAGCACACACACACACACTCCATAAAATGAAAAGAAGAAAAAAATCAAGAGGGCCTAACTTTGAGAAATATTCAGCAGTCAAAATTTCCAGTAAAATTAAATGGAGTCAAAGCTGTTCAGTGTCTCTTTCTGCTAGGAAATATAAGCTTTGCAAAATAACAGGATTAGAGCAGCATGCTGTGAGCAGCAGCTTCATTCCAAGATTGATTTCTGTGTGAGGAAATTGCTTTTCTTGTATAAGACAAATTAGAGCTATTGAACTCAACAGATATACAGTACTTAAGTGCAGCATTGCAGAATTTCTGTCCTGGGCGTTACTTACGATCACCAAGTGATATCTGATCCATACTCATAAGGGGGAAAAAAGATAACGCTTACGTAAGACCAAAACCCCTCCCTAAGTTCTGGAGATGACTTTGTTAATATTTTCAGAGTTACATGATATGCAAGACATTTTTTGAGGTATTTTTTCAGAGATTCAGAAGCTGCTTAAGGTACTGTATGCATAAGTGAGACAAACTCCATGGATCTCCTTCCTTTCTTTTATTAAGACAAAGAAAACAGCCATTGGCAATGTCAAATTACTGCATCAAAAAGAATTACCAACACTGATAAGGTGTCTATTTCTGCCCCAATTGCTATTTTTATGCTATTACTGGTGTTGTATTTGATCCTGTTGCTGCTTAATCACTTTGTAGGACATTCTTCTCCCAGGCCTTTTAATTTCATTTTAGCATTCAACCAGTGCTATACAGAATTCAGAACTTAGAAAGCTTTTAGCTGCATAGGATTTTTTCTGCTGACCTTAGAGGACCACAGTTAAATGGTAGTATCTGTTTTGATTTTAAGCTTAAGGCTTTTGAAAATGCTAAACCAGAAGTAATTAGATTTCATGTGTTGTATCAATATATATTTAGAACGTACTCTGTGCCTCCTGTGATGCATCAAATTGCTTTGTCCCCAAAATCCTTTGTTGCAACAGCAACCAACATATTGTGCTATTTGGCTTACTCTGTTAATCTGCCACAAACTTCTCTCTGAAAATGCTTTTGTTAAATAGCTTGTATTTGGATTGCTCATAATGGAGAAACACTCCCTCCTTCACAGGGGATAAGGATTTGCCAAAGACTGTTTATAAATGGAACTTTTAAGGGGCTAATGGGAATAGACTGGACACAGTGTCATATCAATACTCAGCAGTCCCATACACAGAGATAAAGAAATTCTAATTAAAAGGCTTTAACAACAACAAGAAGCTGCAAAAGAAATAGGGCTGCTACCATCCGTTAAATTCTTAGTGATAACTCATAACTGACATATTAAACAAAAACATCTGGAAGATCAGGACCACATATATTTTACATTCAGAGTTATCTGTATAACACTCAGTATCTGTTCAGATAGTAGACTTTTCAGTGAGATGAAGTAGCATCTTAATCTCCATATTATAGAGAAGAAAGAGCGAGCACACATCATTTTGTACTCAAAAGATGCTATCCAGATTTCAGAGACAGATTTCACAGTAAAAAAAGTGTACTATAGCCACTAAAAATGTCTTCCTGTGTTAATTAAAAAGAAAAATCAAATCATAGATGAGATGTCAAGAGCAAGGGTGAAACTTTCCAAACAAGATGGTACAAGAGAGAATCGTTAGGGGGTATTTTATGCCTAATGCATTAATATGCATTTGCTCAGATATTGTTAGATAAAGAAACCCTCTAAATTGTACTCCACTGAGAAGCTCACAGTTCAGATCATATTTCAACAGTAACATTTACTAGTAGAATTGGGAAAATACAGGTAGCTCCTCAGTTTGGTACTACTGAAGAAGGAAACATGCCTTAAGGAATTATTTTGAAAAAATCTTTAAGATTTAATAGACTTGAGAGAGAAGCTTCATTAATGCTTTCTGGTTTTAGGTGCCTATTTTTAACCACCTCAATCCCTCAAAAGTTTACATCTGTGGAAAAATGAAACAAACGAAAAATGACCAAAAAAGACACACCAGCATTTTAGTTGTAACTAGAAGCCAAGTATTTCTAGCACTCAAGACTCATGTTCTCTTCAGCGTATTCTCTATTTCCCCCAGAACATCCAAAAATCCAAAATGCTACAGCCAAGGCCACAAGGACACGACTGTAGCAGTACTCTTACCCGTGTGCTTCCGGAGGTGCTCTTTAAAATGTCCAAAGTGGTCAAACTGCTTATCACAGTACTGGCATATATGTATTTTTTTGCCAGGTCTTTGCTTCTTGCTGGCACCACCTTCATCAAGGTGGTAACAGGTGAGGTGCTGTTTCAAAGCACTCTCTCGTAGGTATGTTTTATTGCATATGTCACACTTGTAACTCTCAGTAGAATGTGTTTTCATGTGTTCCTTAAAATGGTAAAACAATTTAAACGAACGGTTACATTTCTCACAGTGGAATAAATTGTTCACGTGTGACAGCTGAAGTTCCACAATTTCAATACCTTCTACCTGTTTGCATGAGGGATCAGTTGCACTATCGCTTCCTTCTTGGATCTGGCATTTTCTCTCTCCCTGACGATACTTGCTGGTGATATCTGCCAAAAGAGCCAAAGCCGACTCATCCGAAGTACCCGTTGTCTGTATGTACTTTATGGATTGCTCTGCTGAAGCTACTTCTTCAAGTGTTTCAATGCTGTCATCTTCCACTTCAATCGTCCCTTCAGCAATCTCAACCTCAATTTCAACAGGCTCTGACTCTGCAGATGGCAGTGTTTCTGTGATAACATTAGAGGTTTCAGCTATCTTCCTCTTTTTTGGTTTATTTTTGTCTTGTGCTTGATTTGATTCTAAGGGTGATGAATTTTCTTTGTTCCTGTAAAGCATTTGCATAAACACATTTAAGATCCATAACCATCTACATACCAATTCCTGCCTGATACTGAGCTTCTGCATCCAACACTCTCTAGCTGTTTCTCAAAGAAGCTGAATGATGAATGACCACATAATCTGTGTGCATGTCAGAAGCTAATTTGTCCTTAAGCTATACTCCTTAGAGCTGTAAAATAGCATGGTTAAAGCCGCAGAGCCTTTGACATAAGGCTACTAAAGTGTTTTAAATAGCTCTCCTTGAATGATACAAAGCACTTATGAAGAAGAAAGGCCAGTTAACCTAATGACACAGGTTTATCTAAGAAACTTGTGAAATTCCATACTTGGCAAGAAAACTTCCCTGAAGGAAGGAGTTCTTTGGCCTGCCTACTCAGAAATAAGATTCAAGTCCTTCCTACGCTATTCACCTCTTAAGCTCTAGAGTGTGTACAACTGCCTGCAGTGCCTACAGCTTGTAAGAAAACACTACAGCTGTGACTTCACACAATGATTATTAAAACATACTTCAGGAAAGCACACAGCTAACAGCTGAAGTAAAAATAAAAGCCCCTGGGATAAGGAAAGAGTATTCTAGTTTAATTTTCTGTGCTTAAACACAACCACCAGCTCTGTTCCAGTTCTCCCTGCATCATACAGAACCCCCTCCTCCAAGATGTCAGGGATAGCATGCCACCTCAAACACAGAGCAGAGTGGGCCAATGCTTTCAAGTCACACCCTCAAGATCATCTGCAGCGCTTATGTGCTGGAGGTTTTACTACTGATGATCAGTTTCGAAAATGAGTGGCTATCTCCCCTCAGATGAGACTGACAGGAGTAAGCTGTGCTTTTACCTTCCTTCACAGCCTGATGAATCCTTTCACATAATTTACTCCCTATCACTTTCATGTTTTCTAGTAATAGGAGAGGTAAGGCTTTGCCCAGTATCGTAAGTCATGTCAGAGATGTGTGGCTAATGATCTAATGCAGGATACGGCTTATTAAATTGCCCCTTACTCTACTGAGACACAGGAAGACTGAGCAGCTAAACTTACAGTTTCATCTAGCCTGGATTTCTGGTGTCTAGGTGACTTTGCACATTACAGCAAGGAGCTCCAGGATCACGTACCAAAAGACTAATCTGCTCAAAGAGGAGACTACCATCCTTCAACACATTGTGTGAAACTTTTAATAGGGATACATACATACAACACAACTGCACTTTAAGGAGTAACAGCTGGCTGTTGGGTTTTTTTTCTAGTCTAGATTATGCATTGTGCAACTCTTCAATGCATTATACAAATAGTTCTAATTACCTCTACTTCAGCTGAAGTTTCTGAAGCTTACCCCTTCTAGTCAAAGCTGTGATTGAGGCACTGCATTGCAATTCTTCCCCCTCTTACTGTGGAGGAGACAGACTGACAGTGGTACTCCGGTTTGTCTTTCTAACAAAAGAACCCCCAAACCTAAACCAAACCAAACAAACCCACACAAAGAACTTTTCGAAATCTATGAACAATGGAAATAATCTTAAGAATAGACTGGCTTGCATGTGTGTTCGTTAAGCAAAACATTTGTTTCCTTATAAGAATTACAGGGTTTACTAGTGATGCCTAATCAACAAGCTGCATAACATCATACAATAGTGGGAAATGCAGGCTGGACAGTTTAGCTTGATGGATGGATCTGAAACCTGGTTCAACAGCTCTACTGGTGTACGCTGCCTCAAAGTGATACTGATTAGAACATACTTTTCCAGTTTCAAGTTTCTTTTAAATTCCTCAAGCAGACAGTTAAGATCTGCTTTTTGTCCTGAATTGGAAAAAACCCAAAACTTGTTTGATGGTATCATGCTTAATCTTAATAATCTCAAAAAAAGGTGTTTGTGGGGTTGGAGGGTAGGACTAGAAATGCATAATCCCATATCTTTCCTATTTAAAAAAAAATACCTACTTTTCAACTCTACTGCCAATCCACAGAATAAGCATGGAATAAGTTAATTTGGAAGTTAATGCTGATGTTGAAAATGAAATTTCCAGCATATCATGTCATGGAGGTTTTTTAAAACAAAATGTTAGCTGGCTACTAGAGGAACTTGGGGCAAATGCCACTCTCCTTGGCTAACATGTCTATAGGGAGATAAAAAGGAAACAACAGTCTTTCCTTAGCCTGAATGCTAAGACCTTTCAGCAGGTCTAGAAGAGAAAGCAAGAATAACCATAGCGCTAGGAGCACTTACTGCCCCTCCTTTTGTTTCATGCCATCAGAACAGCATAGCATGCAGAAGGAATGAGAACATGACAGCACTTTCACAAAGTGAAAGGGAAGGAAGGGGAAGAAAAACAGCATGATGGGACTGGCACCTGCTTTTCTCAGGCTGAAGTCTGGCAATGGAGTGGAGCTCCTGCTACTGGAGTTTTTGGTGCCACAGCAACATTTGATCAAGTATTAATCCCATATAAAACTTATTATAACCGTTACATTCATTCAAGACCTTTGAGAGGTTAATTTTGCAGCAAGAAGTTTTACGATCACTGCTTGTTCTCTCAGAAATAGCAGAAAGCTCCATGAAATCAAAACATCAGCACAAGCTTGTTAATGTGGTCTAATTACCTGAGGCACATCGTCACTGCACACCCTGCTGTCAATCAGGTGTGGGCAATCAGCACAGAGACCTGGTATTAATTACCACGAAGTCACAGCCCTACAATGTCTGCAACATTTACCAGCCATGTCACTTGTCATCGAGTTCCAGCCCAAAGAATGTGACATTTTTCAGCCTGTATAATTCTGACCCATATCTTATAGTAGAAGACTATATGGTCCCACACAAGTTTAGAGAGTTGCAGGATAAGGAACAGCACTGCAAAATACTGGCAGCTAGCTCTTGTAAAAGGATTCTTGTGACTCTACATTTCAGTGTTGGGAAGAAAAAAAAGCTTATGTGCTTACCTAATTTCAAGTGCTTTGATTGCTTCTAACATCTGTAGATACTCAGCGGCTTTCCAAACATCATTTGCTTCTTCCTCACCTTGGACCATTAGCTTTGCTGTATAGGTGAACTCAATTAGGTGACGAAATGCCATGTTACTTACACCTGTATACCAGCAACAAGAAAACCAGTTTCTTTTAGCAGTTCCTCAGTCTCACCTATCTGATGAATCTTGCATACTTGCCTGCTCACCACTTTGCTCGCAGCACTGTAGCTGCCAGTTTCATAAAGATGACACCCTTAAAAGGCTCATGTTGGAATAAAAAGTCTACTATAGAAACATACAGTTAATGTGCAACAACTACAGAGTTATGCCACAACATAGGAAGGATAAGATGGACAAAAAGCTGTTTGAATAACAAGAAGTGTAGATTTAAACACAAAAATACAATCTCTCTCAAGAAACCTCTGAGCAGCAAGTGTACTAGAGGCTGAAATATTGCTCCAGGAATTTGCTCCCTGACTACCAGGCAAGTATTGCTCCATGTCTGTCCTGCTCTTGCACCCCAGCCAAGGCATCTGCCATTGACCATCACTGGCAGCCCTTTTCACCTGACCAGAATGGCTGTTGTCAGGGATAAGATTATATGTCACACTGCTAGTCCTAAAAATGTACAGGGTCTGCCTGACCTCCATTAGCCATGTATCAGGGGGAAGAAAAATAAAAAGGAAACCAAAAACCAAACCACCCACAGAACCAAACCTCACACTTTCCCTTCCAAAAGTTTTAATTCAAGACTTTTCTTTTTAATTTTTCTTAAGGGGAAGTTCTCTTCCAGTGGTGATAGCTGCTTCAGAGCTGACATCTAGAAAGCTACTGATATGACTAAGCATGTATGTAAGCCTGAACCAAGGATACAACATTCATTTCCAGCTTGGGCACACAACTCTGAAGGTTTCTATTTGCGTAAATCAAGATTACCTTCAATCTCCACCAAGGGCTCCTGAGTGAAATCTTGAAAGAATTTGTAGAAGAACTGGCTACAGGCAGCAAGAACAGCCTTATGAGCTTTGAAATGGTGACCTACAAAGAGATACAAAAATTTTGGTTTATCCCTTCCTCACTCGTAGTGCAGATGCAGAAATATTAAATGCAGGAAATCCTTAGAAAACATGTTAAGTATAGCACAGCAGTTTCAAAATGGGCTTCTATCTGAAAATATTTAGTCCCTTGTTTGGAAAAGAGAAGCAAAATCATTAATTACGGCTGGAGACTCTGTTCACCCTGAGTTTTGAAATGAAACTCTGCAAGCAATTCACACACCAGTACAGAACCAAGAATTGGTTAGCAGCCCAGTTTGACAGCTGACCCATGACAAACTCAACAGCTTCCCAGCACAGCTTTCAGAATTGTCTGTATACCAACTGGTTCCCAAGCCTGTACGTACCATCGACAATCAGAGTGATATCTGTAAACTGGTCTTGCTCACGTTGTTCATTCAGTCGATCCAAAATAACTTTATAGTGTTCAGGGAATTCCTGGATACATTCCATTGTTTCTTCGGCTTCCATGGCAAAAGGACTGGTCTGCAAAAGATGTGGTATAAGAATACTGTGCCACTCAGTACACAGCTTGCACAGTCAAATTAGTATACACATGAACTAACTAGCACTTTTCAGGGACTACAAAACCAATAGAAATTCTAAACTGTCTTGGTAACAAGTTTACCTGATTTTAGCTAACAGGTAGAAAATGGTAGGGTTAATGATGTGGAATACTGCCTTATTCATACACACGAAAAAGCAGCAAAAGTGGGTAAATGTATTTCTCTATTCTACAGATGCAGCAGGGATCCACCTCCCTCAAAGCAAATACTGCAGGGATGTAACATCTCTGCAGCTAACTATTCAGCAAGACCTCAGCAGCATAATGTCAGAATCTTTATACACTTACTTCTTGCAATTCCACCAATCTACTTGGTGGAAGAACAGTTCTTAAAATTTTCATATTTAAGTCACATTTTGCACCTAGTTAACACAAGGTGCAAGGATGTAACAAAGCAGCACTTTTCGGCTTCTGAGTACATAGGAGTTGCCATGGATTTAATATGCTGTCACACCCAAGAGCAAAGAACATCTTATTCACCCAGCCTACTTACACTTCTCCCCCCTGCAAGGTGAAATACTCTTTGTCAACCTTTTGAAAGAGACACATATACTTGTAATCTGATGGCTCTTCCTCCCTTATACAATAAACATAGCTGGGGGTGGGAGCTGCAGAGGTTCTCAAACCTGAAGAGGTTTAGCAGAACTCCGTGCCTGTGGACAAGATGCAGATGTTAGTCTGCTGCTTATGCAAAAGAACCTTGGAAGAAAGGGTCCAAGCACTTCAATGAAATCATTTCACAAATTAACTCGGGGCAAAATCACTTGAGATCTGTGCAGCAGCACCCATCTTCCACATTCACGCAGCTCACACGGAGGACAAAAGCCAAGACATTTCAAGTCACAAGTCACATTAGCACAGAAACATTGTTTCTTTTCACAGTCTAACTGAAGATCATGTGGTTTCTGACTAGGCTTGAATGAGTCTTAAAGGAATTTGAGACATATCCTTCACTATACTGTTATACTTAGTATGGACAAAAGAAAGTCAGGAGAGCAGCTAGAATCAAACCAAACATTGAATATAGAGATGGAAACTTCTGGTGTAGCAAAGAAGCAGTTTTCTTCAGAGTGCTAGAAGGAAGTGCTTCCTGACTTCTGGTGCAGATTGTTTTTGTCTATGATTGAAATTGGTAAGTCCTGAGCCCAAAACTGTTCCTTGCATGTATTAACCACGTCTGAGTGGATGGCACACCACTTGCTAACTCCCCTTTGCAGCTGTGCAAATTCTACCTCACTTACAACAAACACACATATGTTTATATGGGGTTCAACTGAAGTAGAATTACCCAGTTATGATAAAAGCAGTTATTTTCTTATGACTAACAGACATCAAGTAAAGGAAATCGTAGAATTCCTATTTTCACCACAAAACACACTTTCTCGCATCTCAGAAAAATCAGCCCATGGAGAAATCATTTTGCCAAGAGCACACAAAAAGAAGAGCAGAAGCAACCATTTATGGCAGTCTAGCTCTACCTGCTATCACTGTTTTGCCAAGCAGATGCCGAAACACCTATCAGGGTCTTAAAAGAGACAGAGGAGACCAGCCTGTGAGGGCGTGGGGGAAGGTGAGGTGGAAGGGAGCGGATGCTGATGCTGCTGCCTTCACTTCACCTCATCTGTAATGCTGGGTCTAAGACAGATGACCAGTAGCTCCTGCCTTTTTTCTGTTATCTGGTATTCCACATAAAGTCTCACGTGGGAAGTTGTCAGCCATTTACTTCACCGTTTAATTCTTCTTGCCCACTTATGACACATTGTAAAAGGACAGATGACTTGCAGTTAAAAGCATAATTCCTTAAATAAAATTTTGACCCCAACTCTCACGATTTCCACCTACTCAACTGCAATTTTCTTACAAATTGAGTATTTGCAGAGACATCTTACAAAAAAACCCCTCCAAACAATAACATCCCCCCTACCAAATATAAGAAATTTTAAAAAGTTCCTTTCTCAGAACACTTAAAGAACATGAATGAGAAAACATGCAACTTATGATTGCTAGTTTATTGTTGGGAATTAACACAGCACTAGTTAAAAATGTGAATTTATTGCATATCTAAGCGCAGCTACAGCATTCATTTAGTATTCTAATTGTAAAAACTCAAGTGATATTGCAGAAAAAAGCCCAACAGAACAACATATATTCAATAAGAGCACAACTGCTTTGGAGGAGGAAGTGAAAGGTACAGTCGAGAAAACCAGACAGAAGTGATACAATTTGCCACTTATAAGTAGGCTCATAGACAAGTGATGGAAACTGGACTATTTCAGTTTACCTTGATTTTCCTAGAAGACGCTGTCAACTACTGACTTAACCTTACCAGCTTGTAACACCAGATGCATCTCACATGATACGCGTATGATTGGCAGATTTGTTTTTATAAATCCGCCTCAATGAAGCCATCTTATTACTATCCCCCTGGACTACAATAGGAACTCCTCACATTTTAAGCATTTGGTTTTATTGCCTACGTGGCTCACACATGAATGCAGGCTGGCAGAGCAATGTTACGACAATTCAGATGACCCAGAGGTCCAGTCTGAGGACTGGCCGAACCACCACCATCTCACTGTAGCCACCTCAGAAACGGGGAATCTTGAGGGGCGTTTGGTGGGCAACAGCAGTGGTTGCTTCCAGGTAACACAGAAACGAGAACTTCTTGCACACTTTGCTGCGTGTTTTTCCTCAAAAATAGCAACGGCACAGAAAGGATGAGAGCCGTCCCCTCAGCCACAGACAAGGCCTCGCTCTCGCCGAGGCGGCCCAGCCACACGCCGGGGGCCGCACTGCTGAGGGGCAAGAGAAGCCTGTCACCGACCACAGCGATCGTGAG